ATCTTTAGAATATATGTAGAAACCAAATAACCACCAAAAATAAACATTCTCTAAAGGTCAAAATATTAAATATTATCTCAGAAATACTCTTATAGCTAAACCGTTTGTTGGACTGTGACTAGCATATCAATATTACTTATTGATCCCTAAAACTCAAAAATGGTAGTTGAACACACCTAATAAAAAAAATGTCTAAGAATTTGAATTATTTTAGTTGATATAACTGTTACAGGGTGAAACAGGTTAGAAACTCCCAAATCTACACCACTGAATAAATATTTTTAATCGTAATAATTTATCAAAAAGTAACGATTTTGTTGCGTGACCAAAAAATTATATAAAATATTTGTTTGACAAAAAATAGTTTCATTTTTTTTTACTTTACAATACCATGTAACTTTTTAACCGTTAATACTTGCACATGAGCTTATATGGTAAACTTGCAACGGTTTTGATGATCTTGTTCTGATTTTTTTACACGCGCCATGAATTACATTAAAGTAAAATATCTATTTTAGTATTTAGTACTTATAATCGTCACTAAACTCTTCAACACATTTATGTTAAAAAGTTCTTTAAAATTAAATGTAATAAGTATTACATCCAACTACAGAACTACTTTGCAAGAACAGAAAAATATATACAGGGTGTAACTAAATACCTGGTCGATTTTTGCCGCAATAAAAATGTTTCAAAATGAATGAAAAGTTATGGTTTGTTTGAAGTTGTAAAGAAGCAGTTGAAAAGAACTTTGTAAATAATATTTTATTTCGTTCATAACTAGCATGTTTAATTGAATAATTATTATTATCATTATTTCAAAAACAATTTGAAGCCATGGCACATACCTGTTAGGGCATGTTCCCATTTATGTCAGAAACGGTACATCATATCGACAATGTAACGACAATGTAAATAACAGTTTCAAATAACTTGGCGAAAATTAAAGATTTCATAAACATTTTTTTCATTTTGTTCGTTTTGAGATGTAGTTTTGTAATAAAAAATATCAAGATAATACATTGAGGAAGAATTGAGAATAAATATTTCAAGAGTGATAAACTCAATATCTCTTGACATGATTCAATCTGCTGCTCAGAGCATTTATGAGTGCAAAGGTGTATAAATAGTAATGATATTCACTTCGAATACTTGTGATATAATTTAAATTTACCATTTAATTTTGTTTTTTGTTTTGCTTTATCTATGTTGTTTTGCTCGTTACTCTTATCATTATAAAGGTTACTACGTTCAAAAGTATTAAAAATAAGAAATATTAAATTAATTTATAGAAAAAATTTAAATGTGGCTACTTGTCTTTTTTATTAAAATTATAATTACATTCAATATCTTGGTTATTTATTTATCAAAACTCCATATATAGATTATTTATTTATGAAAACCCCATATATATACAGGGTGAGTCAGTTTTTTGTAGACAAACTTTAACAGGAGATAGATCACATGTTTTTTTAAAAAAAAGTTCATATAAACATATGTCGTAGTAGGATTCGTTTCCGAGGTACAGGGTGTTGAATATATATATTTTTTCTCGAATTTTAATTATAACTTATAAACGAATGCTTAGATTTTTTCCATGTTTGGGGGATAATGCCTATTAATTAAGGGACATAAAATAAGCGATAAGAATGTTCAAAAACTTGCACAGTTTCGGAGTGGAGGGGGTGCTCAACACCTTTCTTAAACAGAACTTCTACGCCAATGACTATTTTTTTAAAAAACTGTTATTTTCATTATCTACATACAGTTTAACAAAAATAATGTCCCTTCTTCTGTTTCGAAATTCAAGTGCGTTTCCGAATTATTTTGATTTTTAGTGTTTGATGTGGTACTAAATTAATTTATTTATTATCATTTATGAGCTAAATATTTAATTCTTTCAACGAAACCTACCTAAATATTGTTTATTAAGGATTCTAAAAAGCCGAAATCTCTTATTCTTTATCTCTTTCCAATGTAGTCAAAATAAATTTTCGTTATATCAAGCCATACTCAAATACAAGACTTTTATAAGTTGAAATCTGTTTAGTATTCTAATTTTAACAATCCTTATTTATTATGTGCTGCGTAAATACTAATGTACTGCAANGGCCGAAAACCGGCTTTATTGACCCTCCTCCTTTGTAGGTGATTTTCAAAAGGCTGTAACTTGGCGAAGAAATGGTATTAACCTTGTAAATTGATATCCTAGTATCCTGATGATGAGGTGTAATTTTGACCTCGAAAGTAGTCGTATGTAATCAATATCTAAAATAATGGATTATGAGAGTCAGAACACTTTTATATTCCCGCTGGCTACAAAATTATCTATGAGATTTAGAAGATCTGTCAAAACAAATTACTATTAAACGTTTAGGTTCATCCGTATTTTTCGAAGAACTAAGGTAATACAGCCCCTTTAATCTGTATAATAATTATATTACTTTCAGTGGAAATGGATAGCAGTTATACTAAAACTGACACTGTATAATACTGTCAAACAAGTTTTTTTTTGTTAATGAAGGTCGATAGATACAAAATAATAATCTGTGCGTATGGATATTTTGTTAAAGCATGTACTTCTAAAAATTAATCCCGAAAACTTTATTTTTTAAGTTTATACCGGCGCATCCACCATATCTGTTTAATTCTATTTGTAACGGTTATTTCCAATTGCTGCAATACGATCTTATCAATTTTTTCGCAATATCCCGTTTATTATTGTATAAAATATAAAAAAAAGCTATGTATCTAAAGTATAATAACCATACTTGTCGAGATGCGCAGATAAAAAGGAGGGACCACAGTAGGATTGACAAAGACAATAACTTTAATAGTCGAGCAGATAACTTCTTCCCAAAAATTTTACTTAGATCTGGTAAATATTGTTATTTAAAGGAAGTTTTATATTATACAGGGTGATTTACAAGCGGTGACCAAAAATGAAGCCCCGTATTCTTTGATGAATTTTAAAGGGTATTTCGTATAAAATTTTTTTCTAGGACGCTTCGTTAAAAAGATAACAGGGTGTTAAACTTAAAAAGACTTTAAAAATTTTTAAAATAATTTAGAAACAAGTAAGTTAAATAATTTGAAATTGGGCACATGTATTTATGTAAACATTGTCCAAAATCTGAGGCCTTTTTCTAAAATTTAGATGCTTCAGTGGCGGAGATACAGGATATCGGTGGCATATTTTTCTAAATAAAATAGTACGCCACTGCTTTACGGCAACAAACTTAATATTTTCGAATTCGTCTTTCAGTTTTCTACAAATTATTACTCTCTTATGTTTTTCGAAAAAAGTCTGATTTTCGAGTAAAACTTAAAACACGAATTGAAAACACCTGACCTCAACCCACTAGATTTCTTTTTGTGGGGTGCTGTTAAACGGCTGGTATACAGTGAACAAGTTAATACACCTGAGCAGTTAGAAGAAAGAATAAATAATGCTTTTCATCAGATTCAGGCAACAATAAATTTAGAACAAATTACATTTTCGTTACTAAAAAGATGTCGCGCCTGTATTCGTGGAAAGTTTTTGAGCATTTTGGTATTTTAGAAAAAAATTAAAAACTACTTTTTGGCACCCTTTTTATGCGGTTGTATCTTTACAGGGGATGTTCAAATGAGATTTTTTTATATGAAAGACCCACCTTATTTTTCTACAGGGAATCCCCTGATTTTTTCGGACTTATTTATTTACGCCCTGCATAAACGGCCGCACCAATGCACGGATATTAAATTAAGCTTTATATTAAATTGTGCCAAATTAAAGAAATTTGGTACAATATTATAAAATTTGGACATTCTTATCGCTTGTTTTATGCCCCTTAATTAATAGGCATTATCCCCCAAACATGAAAAAAATCTAAGCATTCGTTTATAAGTTATAATAAAAATTCAAGAAAAAAAAAATTATATTTAACACCCTGTATCTCGGAAACGAAGCCTTCTACGACATATGTTTATAGGAACTTTTCTTTTTAAAAACATACGTTCTATCTCCTGTTAAAGTTTGTCTACAAAAAACTGACTCACCCTATATATCGTTATATAAAAATTTCCCTTTTACTCTAATGAGGCAAAAATTCAATATGGCGTCCATAACATAAACAAAAGTTAACTACTCAGTACACATTTTTAGAGAGATGTATGTTAAAAGCGACAGCAAAAATCGTTGTCTCATATTGTTTAATATCAGATTACACATTTTTGACCTAAAAGTTTGAAAAACAGGTGAAATACGATTAAAAAAGGAATAACATAAAATCGGTTCCCTTCCAAATATTGGGAACAATAGTAGGATCATATTCGATGCAAAGTAATACATCATTGCCTGTCAAGGGATCCAGTGCAGTATGGTTTTAAGGGGTTTAGAAATTAAATAATTTCTTTATGCATTATGAAGGGATGAAGGCATCAGTTCACTCCTGGCACCTCTGTTCCTACAAAAATCCCTTTATTCTCATAAACTAGTTATTTTAAATGTAATGCATTATAAATCCAATTTGTTTTTTAAATTCCACATATGTACTACATTTTACCACTGTTTACTTGTTTTTTGGAGTCGGTCCCTGATTTACGACCAACCTCACCAGGTAAGTATTTGACGTATAACCGACCATTTCGTACACTCGATGCACCTAGGCGACTACAGCTACTACCAGAACACAATGCGTATGATGCGGTATTTCAGATTTTACATTCAATTTCATTTTAAATTTGAAATGGTTCATCTTACGTCTCTTAAAAATAATTAAGTACACGACTTCCCTTTGATAAAAGACCGACAATTTTTTGCTCTACTTTGTATCGAATACGATCCTACAGTAGGTACTTGCATTCAGAATTTAAAAACGAATCGGTGATGGGCATAAAAGTATGCATATTTTTGCTCATTTAACCATTTCTGTATCTTTTCAAATAAGAATATAATAATATATCAAATAATAAGATATAATTATAGTAATTTTTGTCATACCGATTTTTTTTTTCAGTTTCCACATCCGATTATGTCTCCTTCGACAAGGCGTCATGGTGGGTTGATAATCCACGTTTTGGTTGCTATTTATATGTTCCTGGGTTTGGCAATCGTCTGTGACGAGTACTTCGTCGCATCGCTTGACAGGATATGTGAAGGTACGTGTGCGGTTGTAAACCTTTTACTTGGTCAGACAAATGAGAAATAGAATGTACATTTATTCCTTAATATTTAAGTATAATATTTTACAGGAGTAAACCCCAGGACTTGTATGTGATACTTATAGCATAGAAAATGTAAACCCACATTTTCACTCCTGTGATCAGGGACGTAATAATATTTTTGTGAAAGAAGTCGTATTAAAATAGATAATAAAGTCGCCCTAGCCCGTGCTTTGTTTATACATCTGTTCACTTATTGGTTTCATAATGGTTGTAAAATGTCCTTAGAAGCTTAAAGGATGTTCTAGGTATACTATGTGTAGAAACCTATGGAAATTTCGGGAAACAACGGTACAGGGCGCAAATAAATAAGTGCGGAAAAATTCAGGGGGGATTCTCTGTGGAAAAATAAGGTGGGGTCTTTCATATAAAAAATATACGGGGTGATTCACAAACGGTGACCAAAATTGAAACCTCGTATTCTTTGATGAATTTTAAGGGGAGTCTTTCCTATAAAGTTTTTATCTAGGACGCTTCGTTAAAAAGGGTGTTAAACTTTAAAAAAAATGTTAAATTTTTTTTATTAATTTAAAAACCAGTAAGTTAAATAATTTGAAATTGGGCACATGTATTTATGTAAACATTGTCCAAAATCTGAGGCCTTTTTCTAAAATTTAGATGCTTCAGTGGCGGAGATACAGGGTATCGGTGGCATATTTTTCTAAATAAAATAGTACGCCACTGCTTTACGGCAACAAACTTAATATTTTCGAATTCGTCTTTCAGTTTTCTACAAATTACTACTCTCTTATGTTTTTCGAAAAAAGTCTGATTTTCGAGTAAAATTTAAAACACGAATTGAAAACAGCTGACCTCAACCTATTGAATTTCTTTTTGTGGGGTGCTGTTAAACGGCTGGTATACAGTGTTTTGAAAAGTAAAAGTGTTTTGAGTTCGTTTATTAAGTTTTACTCGAAAATCAGGAAGTAGTAATTTGTAGAAAATTGAAAGACAAATCCGAAAATATCATTATTGTCACCATAAAGCATTGGCGTACTATTTTATTTAGAAAAATATGCCACCGATGCCCTGTATCTCCGTGACTGGAACATATAAATTTTTGAAAAAGGACTGAGATTTTGGACAACGTTTACATAAATACATGTGCTCAATTTCAAATTATTTCACTTACTAGTTTTTAAATTGTTTAAAAAAATTTATTCACCCTCTACATTTAATAAAATTATTCGATTAATTATAACAATTAAGTTGCCATTACAAAATGTCAACATGACAGCCGCCTACTAGATAAATTACAGTTCAATAAAATTTCTACCCTATACCATGCCGTGTAATTGATTTTAAATAAATTTTTTGCTTAGAAAACGTTAATTTTACAAAAAAAAATACAAGAGACCTTTTTTATTTAAAATGAATCAGGTTACCTGAAATGAATGAAGAAAAAAAGTTAAGTATGAAACAAGTCTTAAGGGTGGCTTTTTCTATCCCTTACATCCGTAGCAGAAAATCAACAAATTGTTTACTGAGTGTCTTCTCGATAGGATAAAACGTCTAATTAATTCAATTTTTGTAACTTTTTTGGTATTTTAGAAAAAAATTAAAAACTACTTTTTGGCACCCTTTTTAAGCGGTTATATCTTTACAGGGGATGTTCAAATGAGATTTTTTATATGAAAGACCCACCTTATTTTTCTAAAGGGAATCCCCTGATTTTTTTCGGACTTATTTATTTACGCCCTGCATAAACGGCCGCACCAATGCACAGATATTAAATTAAGCTTTATATTAAATTGTGCCAAATTAAAGAAATTTGGTACAATATTATAAAAAATAGATAACTTCAGAAACACTTTAAAGTAATATGCTACTTGTACAATGCGTCTGCATTTATTGATTTTATGTAACGTTAACAATATTGTCAAATAAAGAGTTCAAAATCTCTCCAATAATGGATATAATTACATGTTTTTCATCAAAATGTTAAGGAATATGTATGTATTAATATTGAAGAAATCCTCGAAAACTACTTTTGTATCATGCTCTTTAAAATTTCTTGCCATTGATGCTTGCAACAATATTCTATATTTGTAATATAGGTACAAGTCCCTATTAGATATATCTAGAATTATCTTCATAATGTTATTCACTAACTATAAGTTAAGAAGTACAATTATTGTGGGTACAATTTTTTTGAGGACTAAAAGCAATAGGGTAATCTGTATAATTCCAAGATGAACTCTCTTCTGCAAAAAATACGGTCAGAAATGATTCTTTGTGAAAACTATTACTCAGTGTATTGTTTAAACTGTTAGAAAACATTTTGTTTTTAAAATGTTTGTTCGTGTAAAAGCTGTACATCGTCTCATTTTACCGTCTTCACTCAATTTGAACTTTATCGAATACGATTCCCAATCAGGGGACCGCCTAGCCGGGTGTTTTGGCCGGCGGATTTCGATCTGCCGAGGCGAGCATCACGGACGTGGGCTGGAATTTGGATGGGTGACCTAAGGCAGGCTCGGGTACGTGGCTGTGGCAGCCTACCAGATACCTGCGTCGCCCAACATTTGCCGCACGCGTGTGGTCCCCGATAAATGGTAACGAGAACAGAGCAAGACAATCTCTGTAACTCAAAACCATGCTATCATACATAAACTGTATGAGACTTTGCCACCAAGCCACCCGTGAAGTAAAATAGGATGGTTTGAAGAAAAGTACTCGAGTAATGAAGGAGGGTGTACAAGGGGCTTAATAAGGCCTAAGTGCCGCGGTGGAAGACAATTCCACCACCCCTCTGACATACATACATACATACATACGATTCCCAATCTCTAAAGTTTTTAAATATGTACGTCTCTGTTTATTACAAGCAGCTGGATTGGAATGTCTCTGCAGACTGCAAACAATGCGCCGCCTGTTACAGGTGTCTTACAATTTCCGCTCATCTGAATTTGCTGGTTTACATACGATGTGCTTAAAGTTTGATTGTTTCCGAAATCAATTATTTATGGGGTATCCGAAATTAATGATATTTGAGGTGTCCGAAAACTACGAGCAAAAAATTTAAGAGGCACAATAATGGTAAAAGTTCCTCAGACACTTTTAAAAACTTTTAAATTAATATAGTACGGTAACTTTTTTCGACTAAGCGACTTTCTTCAAATTTGGCACACTTATTTTTAAATAGTTGCCCAAAAATAAATAATAATTTTTATTGAATAGAACATTGATCATAACTTTGTCTGCGGTTTATCAAAAAAATAAGCATGTTAAATATCATTAAACAATCTTACAAAATAGTCCTATTGCCCAATTGGATAATAGTAAAATTGTATTCGATACAACCTACAGTTTCTTGAGAAAAAAATATTTTTAAATAACTTCAGAAAACATGTTTTGTTTGTGTATTCGAAATAGGGTGTGCTTCTAAATACGCTGAAGCAATGAAACTTATACTATTTATTTACAAATTCATCTAGTTTCTAAAATATTGATTAAAAAAATCTGAATGCATAAATAATACCCCTCTTTACCCCATAAATTAATTTTATTCACAGATATCCACGTATTTTAAAAGTGTATATTTTAAAACCCCTTTAAGAAAGTTATTCGGTCAATAAATTACTGGTAAATATTTGCTCGTAGTAACAGTTAAATTGACTAGACATTTTTAATAATATCTAAAGATGCAAATCCACTTTGCTTCGAGTTTCTGTCACGTAGACCAGAGATAACTTGAATGGAATCAGTATTACGATTTAAGTCTTTTCGTACTGACCTGACTTAACGAAAATTATCAGTTTACATTTTTTTAAGTATCTACATTCGCTGTCTCTGGGTACTTCTGACATTTTTCAGTGTGAAAATTAATGTAATCTCCAAAGAAATAACTGAAGATACAACGACTTTATCCAAGAAAATAACTACTACAGTAAACCGCATTCGTTGAAAATGTTAACGCAACATCGAATCTAATTTTCCAGAACTGAAAATGTCGCCAGACGTCGCCGGAGCCACTTTCATGGCAGCAGGAAGCTCGGCGCCGGAACTAGCCACCGTCATCATAGGTGTTTTTCTCGCTCAGGACGACATTGGTAAGGATTTTTCGTTTGGGTGGGTTTCATATTTATAATAGAACTTAGAAATAATTTGAAATAAACATTAATAATTTAAGTTAAGTCTGAGATACTGCTGCAGAAACTTTGTTCCTTTTTTGATTTTCAAATAACTTTTTGAGTTTTAAAGAACAAGAAATGTTGTACACTTATGTAGACACACTACATAGATTACTTTTTTCGTTTTGAGTAACTAGAAGCTTGAATTAAAATATAATTAACAAGAAATGTTAAAGAAAAACGGAAAAAACAACGTACAAAATATTTTGCTATTGAAAATGCTAAGTTTGCTAGATTGGGTTACCTATTCAAAAAATGAAAAAACTACCCATATTTTTAACATCAAAAGTTAGTTACATCACAATTTCAATTTGTAAATAATTGGCATTAATTTTGGTTTTGAAATAAACGTTGAAATAAAAGATAACTTGTTTAACCAATTATTACAGATTTGTCATTTCATTATGCAATATAAGAATTACAAATTAGCATTAAGAAGACAATCAGAATATTTACAAGTTGTAAAAAAAACACATTCAAAAAGTTTTAAAAGAATATAAAATATTTATAAACTAATTTTTTATCACAGTCTAAATTTTATTTTATAGATCGATCGATCGATCGATCTTTCTCCTTTTCCTACAAATAAAAAAATTTTAAATAGAATGAAGCTGTCTGATATAACTAAATTGTTAATGAAATAAACTCCAACAATTTTTTTCATACATCTTAAAAAAATTAAAGATGTTGTTTTCACCATTCATATCATTTTAAACGCCTTTTTTCATTTGTTTCGTAACAACCAAAGAAGACAAATATATGTAATTAAATAGTAAAGAAATCATAAATTTAAATTGATGTGCTATCGAGAAAAAATTATCAAAAACTTTATAAATAACTACATTTATTTAATTAAACTGTGATTTATTTGACTTAAATTTTTGATATCAGTTTCGTCATCAACACTATATTTGTTTTTTTAATATGAATTAGTATTTTACTTGTATACTTTCAGGTATATCAGGAGTAATTGGCTCGGCAGTTTTCAATATAATGTTCGTCATTTCATGCTGTGGATTGTGTTCCAGTGTAGTGATCTATTTGAATTGGTGGCCACTGATTAGAGACTGCTTTTTCTACGCCGTGTCAGTTTTAGTCTTGTTACTGGTGATTTTTGATGAAAGAGTAACTTGGTAAGTGTAAAACTGAAACAGTTCATATTTAAATTAGGTACTAATTTACAGTATTTATCTAATTCAAATTAATTATTTTAAAAATGTTGTTATCAAAATTAAGTCGCTCAAATTCTGTGATAAGAAGTATCTAGGTAAAATTTCTTAAAGAAACACCAATAGATAAGTATATCCGGTACAAATCCTGGAATAAATATTTTTGTTAAATTATTTACTTGCCCTAATTAATATCACTCAACATATAAGAGTATTTATATACAAGAATATTTTTCATTAAGTGGATTAGCATAATATTATACAGCGGACCATATTTATTTTGATTTTCGTAACAATGCAATCTGGTTCTCAAATCTTAAAGTTACGTGAGTCTTTAATGAACATCATACATATTTTTTTTTCATACTCCCCTACCCAGGACTGCTCTCCTATGAAAAGTTGCCATGCACAGACGAAGTATTTTATTCTATATACAGGGTGGCCAAATGAAAACGAAATAGAGCCATGTTCAGGAATTGCGTCAAGATTGTAGAAAAACGCTCAGACCCGTCGATTTTAGATTAAAGGAGAACATTCTTTGCTGGTATTTTTGACTCTGCCACTTTCACCCCCCAAACAAGGGTAAGCATCACCCCAAAATATTTAAATGGCATTGGCGGTTGAATAATATTTCTTTTAAAAGCTCTTACAATTCTCTTTACAACAGACTTTAAATTCTATAATTCCGCCCAATACTTATTAAGAATTTTGATTTTAAAGTTGAAACTTATGTACAAACAGTACGCCAGTGGTATAAATTTAGTATTTCTTATGTTACATTGGTTTTTGGCGATTTGTTATCACTTTCGTAAAAAAAAAAACACAATTGTAAAAAACAGAAATGAATGTTATACACACACAATGAACGTAAAATTAGTGGATTCCAAATTATTTTCTAGTATTATTTGGAAGCGTTTAGTTTACTTAATTGTGTTTTTGAAGATTAAATACTAGTTTATTCCATTGCGGAAAGGGTAGATATCATTTCGCTATACTTTATGAACAATAAATGTGTGAATAGAACAGCTCAGCTATTTAATGAACAACATCAAGATCGACATGTCAGGAGGAAGTATGTTCTAGAGTTAGTAAAAAAATTTCAAGAGACAGGGAACGTAGCCAATAAAAAACGAGAAATTGAAAAACCTATAGTTAATGAAGCTAGTGAAGTTGCAGTTTTGGGACAAGTTCATCTTGATCCTACATTAAGTACGAGGCAGCTGGCATCTGTGTCTGGGATCAATCGAACTAGCATACAAACCATTTTGAAGAAGAATAAATTCCATCCATACAAAATACATTTAGTCCAGGAACTTCATGAGGATGATTATGACCGCCGTTTGCAATTTTGCGAAATAATGAGTGAGCGAGCAGGGAACGATCCACAGTTCCTTTTTAACATCTGTTTTTCTGATGAATGCAGTTTTTTCTTGAACGGGACGGTAAATCGTCACAATTGCCGCTATTGGTCCGATTCAAACCCAAGAGTTTTTCACGAGGTGCATACACAGCAACCGGAAAAATTAAATGTATGGGCTGGAATTTTCGGTGACCGGCTGGTGGGTCCTTTTTTTCTACCTGGTAATTTGACTGGCCAAATGTATTTGCAATTACTGGAAGACGCTATTGACCCTGCCTTGACTGATATTATTGAAAATGTTCCAAAGTATGATGAAGATCATTTGATTTTTCAACAGGACGATGTTCCTCCGCATTATGCGTTAATTGTCCGTCAGTGTTTGGACCAAAGTTTTCTACGGAATTGGATTGGGAGAAGAGCCAGCATTGAGTGGCCTCCACGATCACCGGATTTATCGCCCCTTGATTTCTTTTTGTGGGGATACCTAAAAAGTAAAATCTATAAAACACAGACCAGTCAGCGTCGCTGGAAGATAATTTAAATTTTAAAATGTAATTTTTTTTTCAAAGTATTGGGCGGAAATATAAAATTTAAAGTCCGTTGTAAAGAGAATTGTAAGAGCTTTCAAAAGAAATATTACTCAATCCCCAATGCCATTTAAATATTTTGGGGTGATGCTTACCCTTGTTTGGGGGTGAAAGGAGCCGAGTCAAAAATACCAGCAAAGAATGTCCCCCTTTAATCTAAAATCGACGAGTCTGAGCGTTTCTCTACAATCTTGACGCAGTTCCTGAAAATTCCTGTTTCGTTTTAATTTGGCCACCCTGTACATCTAATTATAACCTAATTAAAATAATAATACCCAGTATGTCATAAAACACAGCACATTCATTATACAGCATTTGAGCGTTTTTACGAGTAATTTTCAGTGAATTTATAGCAGTTTTTTTATGAGGGTTAGAGATAATATCTCTTTACTGTACCAGTTACACAAGTTTTCTCCCGTATGTAAGACAGTTTACATGTTAACAATATATTCAGAATAAAGAGAAAAGTATATTTTTACGTCTTATATTTATCATTGCATTTCCTGAACTTTACACGCCTATTGAATATACAGAAAGTCGCGTACCGTACTATAAATATAATCACACCCCGCAGAGTACTTTTATGAAACTATTAACATATGAATTAATCATCATTATTGAGTATTTTTACAAAATTCCTGAGAAAAAAGGAAAGGTACATTCCGATGTTTACTTGGGAGAAGATGTTATCCGAAAAACTGCGAAAAATGAAAGGAATCCTTTGCATTTTAACATTTTTATAGTTTAGATAGATTTTCATCCTGCAGATTATTTTAGACACTGTTAATACTTTGAGCGAACTGAAAGCATTTTATATTTGCTAACTAAAATATAATTATGCTCTTGAAAAAGTACTTTACCCGACATCTAACTACTTACAAATAATTCTTCTATGTATTTCCTCCTAAATACAATTGTAAGAGAAATTACTTGGTACTCGACAAATTCATTATTTGTTGTATGCTTGTAAACTTGATTAAATTTATAACATTTAATTAATTATAACTAAGGCATCGAAAAAATGTTATATATTGAAATAGAAGGACAGACAAGAAAATCAAACTTGTCTGTCATAAATCATTTTCAATTTCAAACTTTTTTTAAGTTCATATTGGTAACTTTGAACAACAGAATGGTTATCTTGGATTTATTGGACCTTTTGAGTAGGTACATTCATTTGACAAAACTTTTTAGAGCATATTTCCGTATCAACTTTGTAGAGAGGTTTAATTCGAATACAGCTTTTCTATAAGTTTCCGGCATTTTACTTCACTTTGTAAAAGCAGCCATGTGGTGAATTTTATTATAGGTCAAAGATGTACTAAAATTCCACAGTCCATATAATGCGTCTATGCACGCTGTTACAACTCGATTTGATTTTGCCAGTAGAAACTCCACAAGCATATTACATTGGCACTGGCGACCAAACTACTTATTGCGCTTCCAACGGTTTTTGCACCACATTTTATGTAAAGCGTGTGCATATGCTTGGATGCCTTTCATTTCTGACATACAGCTTTTTATCCCCATGGGGTCCGCGAATATTTGTTCTGGCCATGGAAACCTCTTAAATCGATATTTCTGACTTGGCGATTTATTTTAATATCAACAGCGTATGGAGCAACACTCATAGTGGTCATGATTTTTACGAATATTCGTAATTACTGCAACTGTTTCGTTATTATTCAGAATTTCTATTGAGAAAGATATAATTTTGAGTTGAAATAAAAATTTTTTCCTATGGGCCTTGGTTCTATTTCTTTTTGTTTTTGAACTACAGGAAAGACTGAAAAACTTACTTGTATCAAATTTGAATGCAACGCATTTATACAGGGTGTCCCAGAATATGTGGGCAATCTCTTGATTTTATACAGGGGACGTTAAAATAACATGACAAGTTCCTATAAAAATTCTCCCTAGAGGGCCCTCCTACGGAGATACAGGCCCCTAAAGGATACCCCTGATTTATTTTTTTAATTACTTTGTGTAATTTAATTATTTTTTAATATGATGGAGAACAGATAAGACTCTTAAAAATGTAATAATCTACCTCTGAATGTAAGTAAATGTAAATTTATGACTTACAGTCAACGCAAAACTTATCTAGATTTTGATTATAAAATTGGTGAATCTTTTTTAAATAGAGTTACGCAATTTACTGACCTTGGTGTTACTTTCGATACTAGATTATCATTTGACGACCACATTAGTATAGTAACCAAATCTGCTTATAAGAATTTAGGCTTTATTTTGCGTAATTCTATTTTTTCATTGTATGAATGACAAAAAAATTGTTTGTCTAGTAAATGTAATCCTTATCTTATATATCGTCCCTCTTATCACGTAGGGGCGTATAATCCAAGAAATGGATATAAACATACCCCTCTACGTAATAATAGGGACGATATGTTAGTTAGCTTATTTGTTTTATTTGTCTGTTATTGTTTATCCTTAAGTTCTCTGGATTTTATATTTTGTTTGCTCTATGTTATGTAGTATTTATATTTTTATATTTAATGTTAGTTTGTCTTTTTCTTTTAAAATTTAGTTAAGGTTTTCTGTTTTACCTTATCCTATAATTGGGACTTTGTCCCGTTGGATATTGTAATTTCTAAATAAATAAATAAATAAATAAATAAATANATTCGATTTCCACAATTGTGTTTGGCTTTGGCAAACGTTCCTAAAATTATTTACAGTATTTTAATTCTGCATATTACCTACTAAAAAGTACACTAATGCAAGTAACAAATAAATTGTAATTTTTTTCAGTCTCTCTTAAACGCTGATCCGCTCTTTCAAAAGTTTTCCTGCAAGTCCATACAATAAATGCATGTCGGCATATTAAGTAAACGTAAATTCCATTACGGCAAATAAAATAAATCTGAGGTATAAAAAAAATAAGGAAAATATCACAAATTTCGACACACTCTATCATTAACTGACAGACTTAGATAGGTACTGTAATTCTTATTTAAATCGGCAAATGTCAAAAAGAGAAGCATAGCAACAAAAAACAAAGGGAAAACAAGTGTAAATAAAAGTGACATTTTTTAGATAGGCACAGAAACAATGCAAATTTCATCGGTTTATTTCTCTTTACGGATGTAATAAAAATTACATTAAACAGGAATAGTTTTTTCTCGAAAACAGTTAATTTTGTCGATATCAACCAAGAGTGCCTATTTTTTAGTTTAAGATTCAAGTTTTGTGCCTTTATCGTAAAGGATGTAAAAAAAATGACATTATTGCACTACAGCTAGTCCGTCCCTGACAAACCAAATAAGCCAAATTGTTTTCATGGGTCAGGTTTTAAGGAGTCTTATCTATTGTCCATCGTATTAAAAAATAGTTAATTTACACAATGTACTTTAAAAGTTATTTAAAAAAAAAAAATTTCAGGGGCAACTATTTAGGGACCTGTATCTCCGTAGAGGGGCCCTTTAGGGAAAATTTTTATAGGAACTTGTCATGTTATTTTAACGTCCCCTGTATAAATTCGAGAGATTGTCCACATATTCTGGGATACGCTGTACAGAATTACATTTAAAAAAATAATCTCTGACGCCCTCTAACTTTTTAATATTACCTGTTTTAACTTTCCTAAATGCGTCCTAATCTACTTTATATTGTGACAGTTGTATAGTTCAGTTAAACTAGGCGAATATCAGATTTTTGACACTGAGATTCATAAATAAATACACGGTGTAAAAAAATAGTGTTTACAAAAACTTGAACCTTAATTCAAAATATATTTAATAAATAAGTCAAGTAAAAAAATATTGTTAAAGAATAGAATGAGTTTTTAAGGTTCGGCATTCGTCCACATTGATATCAAAAAAAATATGGTGACTTTAAAATAACACATCTCTAAGCATACACTTACTTACTTACAAAAGTAATATGTTTTACTACATTATTTTCCATTGTTGATTTAAAAAGGTGATAAATGGCAACGCTGATAGTGCACTGATATAACTTACCAAGCTGATTCCGGGTGATCCGGTTTACACCATCCAGTAATGACATAAACAAGTGCAGTTTAAAAAATTAATTATGACTAGAATATTTATTTAATTAAAAACATAATCAGATTCGTATTCAGGGCAACACATACTGTTATTCCTAAAAAAAACTGACCCCCACTTACAGTTACACCCTTATAACATACAGACATATACTGGAAGATGTAACTTAAAAAATATAAATACTGTGCAAATAATTTATTAGGAGAGTTAATGATTGTAATTATGTTATGGATATTATTTGTTTAAATTATTTTTTTGAAAATCAATATACATACCCTGAAATGTAATTACCTTTTCTTAAAATTTAACTGACTGATCTAAAATGCATATGACGGATTCTGAAATTAAATTTTTTAAGACTAAACTGAAACGATCCTTTCTGAAAGTAAATTTACCGTTCCTGAAATACATTTGGAAAAGAGGTAATAAATGAATATACTTTTATGTCTTCATCAATTGCAATTTTCTCCAAAATAATTCGTTTCTTATACACCTTCGTTTCTGCCATAGGGTAGAATCGCTGATATTACTATTTACGTATGTCATCTACTGTGTGGCGCTCCACTACAACACACTACTTGAGAGCATCGCCTACTCTCTGCCAGTACCATTCAGGCACACAGCTCCAACCGAACAGTCTGGTCTGGTGAGCTACAAAACCTTAGACGACGATGGAAAAAAGCCCAATTACGGAATGGACTGGTCCCCTGAGAAACAACAGGAAGCCGAAGATCCAGGTGAGACATTTTGGTTTGCTTTTTACAAACACATATTACTATTATATTGAATGCGAATTTCTGTACAAATAAAACAGCTTTGGAGAGAATATTTGAAGAATATATAAATCGATGTGCGAAAATTTGATTGACAGAAATATTATTTACAAATAGAACATTTTTTTAATACCTACTAACTTGCAGCAATAATAGGAAAAAACATTTTTAGAACCGCTACTCCATTCAAACCTCGTCTTTCTCTGTTTACGAGTATTTAGATAAATCGCTGTACATAAAGATGTACAGTTAAGTATCAGTTTTCTTCAGCGGCTCCATATGTCGTCATGCCCTTTGTTGTTGTTTATGGAAACTAGTTTTTTCACAAATTATTTAAGTTTAATATAGCATGTGTCATGTCACTGTAAAAACAGTACATTTTAAGTGAAGTATCACTATATAGTGATTTTTGAATGCATAGCTACTCTTTTTAAATTTATTAAGTTTCTTTTTCAGTTTAAAATGATAAAAATAATTGGAAAAGCCTGAAGAAGGAAGACAATTACTGGCATTGCTTATTTTAATATAAAAAAATTAATTGGAATTGTGCCTCTCAAAAAATGTTAGAGTTGTATCCAGATTCTTAATGCGCCATACTATATGGGGATATTGACATAATATTCTATCCTTCTTATCTTTTTGACATTCCATATAAAAATATGGTAGACAAACAAAATAACAATCTAATGTTACATTTCGGAGATATAAACCAAACTTGTGTTTTTTAAAAAGGAACACCCTATATATTTATAATCCACTTTTTATAATTACAGTTATTAATAATTATTTTTTAATACATATCATGTATTGCTTTAACAGTCTGCACAATATTTTTGGTTATTTACCTCCACATAGGATGAAGTTGAGAATTTAAATGTTTTACTTAGAAAAAAATAGTAATCTATTTTTATAGATGATTTATTATTACCCTATCATGTTTTAGAAGTTGGGGTCCTAATTTGACCTTCATGTAATTATTTCTAAATGATAAAATAAACAAAGAACAATCTAGTACAATCTAGTAGTAGTAATCATGAGATGGACAGTACGGCATTTTATGTTCTCTAAGGCATAATAAAACTCCTTTTACAATAAGATAGTTTTTGTTAATAAAGAAATTAAAAATCGCTTTTAATAGCGGAAAATAGAGACACGCACTGGTTCCATGGCAATCTTGACTATGTACAGGAACCAAAATATTGTGCAAACTTTCAATATAAATATATGACAAGTATTGTAATCAGAAAAAAGAGAGAAATCAATTGTTATTTTATATATTTCTCTAAGATAGCATTCCTAAAACTTTTTTCTTTGCCATTCGAGGGGATAGATTGTTATGGAATACCCCTAAATGTGTACATAATATGTACTAAAAGATCTTTTAAGTTTACAATGATATAAAATCAATAATCTCTAATAATAAGAGATAATTAGAACGAGAACTGCCTTTCGGTCGATAGCCGCACGGTTTAAGGCGTCAGTACTTAAATCGATGTGTCGAACTGCCCGGGTTTCGAATCCCGCGGCCGGTGACCGTAGTTTATCTATACTTGTACGGAGGATTGGCGCCCTCTGTGCAGATATGGTAGGGTGGAAGAATGTTGGCTTGGGTCAATGTGAGAGATTGACACCGGTTGGCATTTGACCACCCCCCTAATTAATGAGGTTTTCCAGGTTTCCCTCATTCCTGCACTGAATGGTGGTTAGGGCCTACCAACATAAGTCGTTCCTGGGCGCAAATGCGGCCTGCGTAATAATAATATGCCGCCTCCTCTCCCGCACAAGTCTCCGACTTCTGGGCTAATTCTCGTAATTAGAATGAGGAGTAGAGATATTATATTATTATTATTATAATAGCGCTTTGTCCAAAATTTTTGCTTCGAACTTTTGAATGACAACTGTAAATAAAGATTGTTAAAAGTTTAACATCAGTCTTTTCTTTGTGTATACAGTAAGAAAAATCAACGTTGCGACAATCTCTTTTATGTTTTTTCCCCAAAATGTGTTTTTATGGTTATACTATCATTGACCGAAGGCGAAACTCAGTTTTTAGTCAATTATTTAAGAAAAATTGAAGACATAATCTTACATAGTAAAGCGCAGTTTCTTCGTTGTAACTATCCCTATGTAAAATTTGAAAAGAAATCGGTGACGTCGGAATTATGAGTAAAAGAATCTGAGGGATGTCAACTTGATAAAAAAAAACTGCAGAATCTTCTGTTGCAGACATATAGAAACGGTTTATCAAAATCTGTAAGGAGAATTTCTCTGTACAGTAACTTTAATATATAAAACTTTTCAAACCCCTCATAATTCCTCCCCCATCCACCAGTTAGTTTCTGTTCAATTTTTACAAAAATTCATAACCACAAAACTGCACTGCGCCAAGTTCAAAGTCAGAATCTTCAATGATTACTGAGTAATAATGCAACAATAATTGTGATTCGAGACCAAACGAATCGTAGCGCCCTTAGATAAATCGCTTTAGGAAAAAATGTTACTCTTGTTTTTTTAGTATGTTTTAACGAGAGGATTCGGTTCTGAAAGTTTGTCAAAGCATTGCGTATCAATTGTATACGTTTTTAGGTGGTATTTTATTAATATAAAAATTATATTTGGTTATTTAAAGACGCTTACAACTGAAGTTTATATAAAAGCTCTCAAATCACTCAAACATTTTTTATGTTGTTTTTAATTATCTAGTGAACGCATATATTAATGATAGTTGATTTTTCAATGTCTTAGTCTAAACATAAAATATAGCTTTAAATAATTCTAGTTATTACATCTGATTTGTTCCTGGACAGATCTCAAAAATTTTGGAGCAGAATGGTCTCCAGAGAAAAATCAACAAGGTAATAAAATACATGCATGCAGTTTATTTTTTTATTTCTTAGATTAAAGGTCTGTTTTCCACCTCTTAATATTATTTATTTGCCAATTAAATCTTATCTGACTCATAAAAAGATAGAAAGGTAATTAAATTAGATAAATGTAATTACCCTTCAATTTGTATTAGCAGGGATATCTATACAGGGATGACCAGAAGTACGGAATAAAATTCATATCTTTTGAATGAGTTAATTTTTTTTTAAACGCCGAAACACGTTAACTGATTTTGATTTTTTCCCATCTTTTGGTTATATAATAATTAATTTTTTCTTCAACCCCCTAACCCCCAGCTACCCCTACTTTTTTTTCAAATGGAAACATAAGGCATGAGGGGGCCCGTTGAAAAGCTTATAGAAAACTGAATCCAGCCATACCAAATAAACAAGTTTTATTTTTTCAATAACAAGTTTTTTTTCATTTAGAAATTGAAACAACTAGATAATTTACAAAAATAAACTCAATGTCGCAAATGCTGAAAATGTCCTCCATTCACTATTTGGCATTCTCCAAGACGATAGTAAAAGCTGTCCACAGCATTCTGAATGACTTCAGCTGGTAAATTATGCATCTCCGCCCTAATCTTGTTCTTTAAATTCTCAATATTATCCGGTCTGTCCTGGTAGACTCTTTCTTTCAAATATCCCCAAAGAAAATAATCCAGGGGTGTTAAGTCGGGGGATCTTGGCGGCCATTCAACTGTACCCCGTCTACCAATCCAGCGATTTGGAAACATTTCATCTAAGTATCTTCGAACATCAATACCAAAATGTGGGGGAGCGCCATCTTGTTGGAACCAAATTCTTTCATTCGGTATATCTGGATCAATTTCATGAGGGAAAATCACAGCTAGAGCAGGTATCAGGTCAAATGTTAGGAAATCCAGGTAGCGTGCGGCAGTAAGATTTTCTTCAAAAAAGAATGGGCCCAAGATTCTGTTGTTGATGATACCTGCCCATACATTAACTTTTTGTGGATGCTGCGTATGCGATTCGCATGTCCAGTGTGGATTTTCCTGGGACCAAAAGCGATAGTTGTGCCTGTTAACCACTCCATTTAAATAAAACGTAGCTTCATCCGAAAAAAGTACGTCTCGTTGAAAACCATTATTGTCGTCACACCGTCTCATCATTTCCTCACAAAATTGTAATCGCCTATCATAATCGTCTTCCAAAAGCTCTTGGACAAGACATACCTTATAGGGGTGGTATTTCTCTTGTTTCAGAAACATTCGAATTGCAGTTCGAGAAGCATCGTGATTGCGGGCCAATGAAACAGTTGAAGTATGAGGATTTTCAACAAGTTCTAATGCAATGTCTAATTTCTTTTCTTCATTCAAAGCACGTGCCCGTCCAGTTTTGGGCAAAGTCTGTACTGTACCGTGTTCCTCAAATTTGTGAAATATTTTACTAACTGTCCCTTGCGAGATTTGGTTTTCGGGATATTTCGCATTAAATAAATCGCGCACTTCAGCCTGACTTCTTATTTTGTCTCCACATCCAAGCAATATCAAGATTTCGATGCGTTGCCTTTCCGACAATACCATTGCAATTCAGTAAATAACTTGATTTTGACACAATAGTAACGTTTCGAACTCCAATTTACAACTAAAGCGAAAAATTAACCAGAAAGCCTGGCAAGTAAGTGGTGCCAAAAAAACGCAACATAAAAAATATATCTTTTTTGCGTTAGCAGTGATAGGTACAGTTTCAAATTCTTTATTTTATTCTGTGCAAATTCATGGAGGATAACACTGAAGATAATTAAATTTTATTTCACTTGTTAAGTAGGTGTTTCATACAACCCTAAAAAACTTGCTATTGAAAAAATAAAACTTGTTTATTTGGTATGGCTGGATTCGATTTTCTATAAGCTTTTCAACGAGCCCCCTCATGCCTTATGTTTCCATTTGAAAAAAAAAAGTAGGGGTAGCTGGGGGTTAGGGGGTTGAAGAAAAATGAATTATTATATAACTGAAAGATGGGAAAGAATCAAAATCAGTTAACGTATTTCGGCGTTTTAAAAAATAGTAACTCATTCAAAAGATATGAATTTTATTCCGTACTTTTGGCTATCCCTGTATATAGTTAGACAACCCGTTAAACTTAGATTTAAAATACTAGATGACGACTCTCTTATAAAGTCCTTATCATCCTTATTTATACTGTGAATAAGAATATCGCAAAAAATCATTTGAAACAAAATAAACACGTTTATCTCTTCTGATAAGTATTTACCAACTGCATGTCCTACACACGATGTTGGTAAAAATTAATTGATTATCCACAACTGTATGATAAATGCTCTATTGCACACATCTAATCTAGCCATGCAATGTCATCTGTGTCACGCTGTGAGGAATAGTGAAACAAATGAACAGAGCTGTCACGTAATAAATGATCGGACCTAATTGACCTAATTTTGCTTCTAATAAGTTGTTAAAATGGACCAATTTGGACCACAAACTGCATGGACAGTGATCATTGAAGAAGAGGTTTTGCATCGAACTAAAGAACAACCTACCACAAGCCATTATTATAAATTTATTATTATTGCATTATCCTTAATAAAAATTACTTAAATATCGAAGCATTTTGGGGTCAACGTAATAACAGTACGTTTTTGTACAAAAATTGCTCCAGGGCCAAATTGGCTCATTTCCTATTTGGAGTTTATATACAAATTTTCAACCGTAATGTCCTCTATAACCCCCTTAAGTTTGGCAACCCCTTTTTAAAACACCCTGTATAAACAAGGATAATAGCAACCATTATATTCAATTGCCACATAGCACGCTGTGATAGAAGTATATTTAAGGATTTAAAATGTATAACTTTGAAATCTTATCGCTATTTTATTCTTTTTTAAGGCACAAGGAAGGGTACCTTAAGCAAAAAACTTATTTTTAATTTTTTTAACCAAGTTTTGAGTCTTTTTACTGCTTATACCTTCAAACTCACAGTTTTTATGTATATTTCACTGACTTGACTAACTTTTTACCAACAAGTCTCCTCAGAAAGTAGTAGTCCTTATTTCATTTTCCTTTTTGCTAGACATGTCTACATGTAGAATAAATTTGCAAGCCCTAATGTATTCTTAACTAGCCAATAGAAAATCATACAACTAATACCCACGATATTGTAAGTAACCCTATTGTAGGATTTGCCAATCAGTTGAGTGGCCCTGCTTTAAACCAGGCCACAATAGAAGCATCTCCGCAACAGTCTGCCCTTCCTGCGAGGCCCATCCAGCAGGATTATTATAAGCCCAAAGAGTACGATCCCAGCACACATGTAAATCCTCTCATCAGGCCAGGTAAATCAGCGATGCTTTCTATACATGCAAACATTGTTTGGAAAATTATGAAGTAATGCAAGAGCTTCATCTGTTAGTTTAAAATAGAAAACATTACTTGAATACTTACATACAACATTGAAATGATATGAATGCTCGAGGTTGCGACTGTGTATTTAATAAATGTAACTATTCTCGTGGCACGATATCACATGGAAGAAACTAAGATATGTATCACCCTAAATTTGTTTAGACCATCAAAAAAGTATACAGTTGCAACATCGAGCGACATATTTATTAATAGCATGCCGTCATCCACAAAAGGTTTATACCTAAATCGTACAAATATATATTTCGTATTGGACCATACAGGAACAAGCAATAAAATAGAAAATTGAGAGAACGAGATACGTCAAACAGGAACTAGAATTACATAATTAATATACACAAAGTCGCAACTAATAGAAAAATTAGGTACATTAGGTATTAAGCTAAAATAATACTATGCAAACTAAAGTGATAAGAAAGTTTCTTTTAAATTAAAATTCAAATAAAAAGTTAGATTGCCACAGAAACACAAAAGTTGCTTATTTTATATAAAAGCATAGCATTTATTTTGGCAAAGATTTGATCATAAAACACATCACTAAACTTCGCTATACAAAATTCCTTGATAGTCATTTGTTTAGCACAAATCTATTTAAGAACTGTCAGAATTTCCATAGTCACTCTGTATTTTAATAAGTATTTCCAAATTGTTTCTCTTAAGTAAGCTTGTCAAAAAAACAAAATAATGAAACAATAATAATTTTAAGTTAAAGAAAGTTAAATTCAACAAAACCTGTAAGTAATTAATGTTTTATCAACATTAAACTTTCATTCAGTCTGTTTTTTTCTTAAACAACATGTGCCATATTTGGAATAAAAGTTTGGCCCCGAAAGTTTGGAATAAAATTCATAAATTCATAGGTGGTGGCGGTGGTGCTAGTCATATTCCGGATATGACGTCACGCCAACACTTTTTAAATAGCAAGCTGTATTGGGTAACACCTCGTTGGATATCGCCGTGAAACACAAATTCCCTGATGTTAATTTTCCTTGATATCACAAATAGTTTTAGAGATATTGCACTTCAAAACCTTTTAATGCGTGAATATATTCAAACTTCAAGTTTGGTGTTACATAATTATACCACATGTCCCATTTTAATCGATAGATGTAAATATCTCGTAAGTTAAGCCTCCGATCCAAAAATGACTTATATGAAAGTTGTTCAGTTTATTGGGGGAAAGCGGCTGTTTACCTTGAATTTGACCTTTACCGTGACCTTGAAGGTCAAGATCAAATCACAGCGAGTTCAAATGATTCTTCACCCGTGAAGCAACGTCGGAATAAGATGTTTGCCTCCAGCGCACCATCTGCTTTAATCTATTTTTTTTCCTGACAACCTACATAGGCTGTCTCCTGCGAGACCAGTATTACTCATTCTTTAAGTCTCAAGGTCCTGTTAGTAATGCTACTATTACCCTTACTTGTCTACGATTTTGGTTCGATGATCTTAAGAGCTTCCTGCCTTGATTTTTGGTCCTTAAATTCTGTAGTAAAGCGTACTTGAACTTTTCTGGTTTTGAGCCATCCATTTACCAGATTACACTAGCTTTAAGAAGATGCCATTTTCTCAGTAATCGAGTATAATCTCAGAATAATCCAAAACAATTATCAAGGTAACTTTTGTGATATCTGAAATTCCTTTCTCTTTAGATATACTCTTTCTCTTTTTGCCATACTGATAACTTTATTTTTAAATGCTAACTTCGTCCTAGAATATAAATATGTAATCCTTTTGTAAAAACTGTCATAAAGGCAGTGAACGGTGGTGGTCTCCATACTGGAATTTCAGATGTTTGAAATGAGCTTGCTATTCTGTAATTAGCTTATTTACTATCTTGAATGAGGAATTAGTAGAAGCAACTATACTGATTATTTATACTTATATAACAGCTGTTATTAAGCTGGTAAACTGTAAAATATAGGTATTTGTTTTATGAACTGTAGCAATTAATTTATCTTATTTCCATTTCCATAGCGACAACTGTATTACCCTTGAAGACATAGGATGCTAATTATTTTATGTACAGGGCAAGCCAAATAACTCTCCTACTTCCGTTAACTTATTTGAAGAAACACGAAATAACTAAAAAATTCATCAATTTAGTAATTTTTGAAATTTCAACATAAAAACAAATTAATCACATAGGTACTAAAAATGTAGCGACAACACAATCCTCTTTTTGGTAAATTAGCTATTCCTTATTCAAGAACGTTTTAATGCTCAATTTTTCGATTTCAATGAAAAATTACATTATTGCATTCTTTGAAAGATTGCATTATTTAACAATTTCAGTATGTTAGATGTGTATTTTTTGTATTAATAATAGTTACATATATCTGTCATTTTTAGTTTTAAATAATTTATTATTCACTGCTGTAGGTACTCTAAATATTACTGGTATAATTCAATGCTAGATAGTTGCCACTTTTTAATACAGTAATCGAAGTAATTGCATTTACAAAAATACATCTCCACTCCTGCCAAATGCGCTCATTTTGTTTTTGAAGGCGATCTTGCAACTTTAGTTAGTTTAGTAGTAAAAACACAAGAGCTAATAATAACATATATTAAAAAAAACATTAATTTGTTATTGTAGTGAAATATCCCAATTCTTCTTAAAAAAAAATACTAAATTGGAGAACAAATTAATGGGGGTGGGAGAGTTGTTTGGTTTCCCTTGTACATATCCAGTCACGAGATGACGAGAAAGCAGACTGCAAGTTGCTTATGAATGAATAAAAAGTGTTTATAATTTTGTAAATGACATTTGTTAGTCGTGTTACAACAACAAACTTATGAACATTTACTACTGTTCACAGAAGGCGCAGGAATTTACAGACATGTCGTGTGGGTTGTTCTATATCCCATTCACTGGCTCTCTCGAATGACTATGCCTGATTGTCGAACTGAAAAGTACAAAAATTGGTACGCATTTACATTTTTCGTTTCCATGGTTTGGATATCATTTTATTCATACTTTATGGTGTGGATGATTACGTTGATAGGTAAGTGGTAAGCGTATGTATATATGTATCTCTATTTAAGTCAACTATGTTGATGATAAGTATTGCGCATTACCTAAATATAAATAATTCATGAAGATAAAACATCAACAGACAGATCAAATTAATCTAACAACAAAAATATCTTTCCAATCTCTGATCCACCATCTCACCTGCTGGGGTTTTCTCTTTTATTTTCTTGTGTTTTTTTCGTTTAACACGTGTTGTTACAATCATGCACGAGAAGCTACAAATATGGCTTTGAGTAAAACTCCAAATCTATGGTAGTTATTCAAGTTATTCTCACTGGCATCTGTGTCTGTACTGCTGTTCAATACAAGATCATATTCACCTCTTCTATTTTTCTCTTCTTTAACTCTACCCTCTTCTAGATATTTCAGTAACGCATATTTTAATACATGCGAAAGTACCCGTTTTTTATAAATTGTTAGGCAGAATGAAATATCCATTTTCAAAGTTAATTTGTTTCATAATATAGCTACACACGTACATCAAAGTTATTGCCGCATTCTGAAAGACTTACATTTTCATCCTTACAAAATTCAAATCGTGCAAAAACTTCTGCAAGAAGATTTTGAAAAACGCGTTGACATTTGCGACCGTTTTGGAGCGTTACATGCTAAAATCCCCGATATTGTTGTTTGCTTGCTGATAGCAAATGAAGCTCATTTTCATATATAGGTTTATGTTAACCAACAGAACTTTCGTTATTGGGATACGAAGAATCCTCAGCAATTGCACTAATTAGCAATTCACAGCGAAAAAGTTAGTGTGGTGCGCAATAATAGCCTTTCAAATTTTTGGGCCGTTCTTCTTTGGGGAAAATGACTTGGCTGGTACTGTTTCATCACAATGTTATCAGCAGGTATTGTGTAACTTTGAACAGCAACTTCGTAATGTTAATGTGGATATTCGGCGACTATGGTTTCAGTAGGACGGGGTCACTTCCCACACTGCTAGGGAGTCTATGGCAACCTAAAGTAAAAATGTCTTATCGACCACAATCTTTGGACAAACTGCAAAATAATATTAAGACGGAGATTAACGCAATCCTAATCAAAATGTGGGCGCGGGTGATGCAAAACTTTCGTATTCAAGGGTTTAAAAAAAAACTTCCTTGTTTTATCAAGAACCTGTTGTTTGATTTTTGAATAAAAATTTTAGTCACTAATTAAAACGACCAAATTTAAAATGTATATACTTCATTCTGCCTTGTTGAAAATCTAGATGTAGGAGGTATAAGAAATAGGGGAAATATTGGATGAATAAAAATACCAGAGAAGTAACTGGTAATAATATCCTTTAAATTTTATGGCTATTGCTTCCTTCACTCGATATACGATGGTTATATCAGATGTACTAGGTGATTCACAGATAAAAAGATATCTGAATAACCAAAAAGTGTTGAGGATCTTCTTGTGGAATTTTATCTTCACAAAGACTTGTTTTCCTTGACTGGGTGACAAAACTAACTTCCCAAATTCTTATTTGTGGCTGGTGAAGTAAGAGAAATAGAAAATTGGCAGTATACGCAATGGCATATGTTTTCTTACATCAATGTACTAAATAGTTTAAGTTGTAGTTCCTTTTTCTCCGGAATTTCATTAAACATTCATTAATCTCTTAAGTAATATTGGAGGCATACTAGAGTTACTCAAGCCGAATTTTTATGCAGTTAAAATATTTTCACTGGCGATCTCTCTCTATAGCTATCACCGCCGGATGTACCCTAAAGCCTAAAGACGAGTTTAATTAAAAAATTGTTTTAATGCCGCGACCATTTTTAGATGTATTATTTTTCTAAACTGCTCACTTTTTAGTTAATATACAGTTGGATACATTTGGACAGTCCAGTTCTCACCTTATCTTCTTGGAACAGGCAAAAGACAACTAATTTCCATATTTATGCCACGTGTATTTCCTTAGTTTAAAATAAAAGACTAAATATAAATATTCTAATTATGCCTTCATTTTCCACCTTTTTTCTTAACAGACTAAGAGATTGAAATTTTGCAGAGTATATTTTATGCTAATTCATTTTTCTCAAATCATTTATCTATCTACCATAGAAAGGACATTATGCTATTATAAAAGTGATTTATTTCCTTCCTTTTTGAAGTTTAGAGTTGGGAAATAATAAATTCTTGGTCGAATAGAATCACTACATCTTTAAACTGCAAATGATTTACTTAAAACTATGCCTCACATAACCTATAAGATCTTATGTTATGTCACATTATGTTAAGAAGGAGTTTCTTTTTATTATTTTTTCATTAAGTTTTACATAAATCTGAAAATAATGTGCAACCGTAAACTGAGAAAATATAATCCAAAGATTTTGTTTATATTTCTCCATCCTATTTGTTGTTGTTAATTTTTTTGAAAAAGGGGAATAGATTTGAATAAATTTTAATGTTTTCTTCAGGTTATACGTTATACATCCCAGACACAGTGATGGGCCTTACCTTCGTTGCAGCAGGAGTTTCTGTTCCTGATGCTTTGTCTAGCATAGCAGTGATAAAAGAAGGGTAAAAATATATATGTTTGTCAATATTATCATACTTTTTTTATGTGTAATCATATTGGATGTAAAATCTAGAAAGGTATACCTAAATTAACTTATTTAAATAAAAAAATTAAATGCATATTTTCTATAACCAAAATTCGTATGACAAATGGTTGAGTTTGGAATTTTTATAAAAATTTTAGAGGGTTATAAATATTTAACTATATCGTCATCGAAGTATCGCTGTTTAAAAATATCTATAATTTGCGTCTGTTTCTACATCTTAACATTTTAATGCAAAAATTATCTGAAAGAAAATTTTTTGAGTAATTTACAAAATTTATAAATCTCTTGTGGTAGGTATGGCGACATGGCTGTATCCAATGCAGTAGGATCCAACGTTTTTGATATTCTGGTTTGTTTGGGCCTTCCATGGTTCATTAAAACAGCCATCGTGAGTCCCGGATCCGTGGTGAAAGTTAGGAGCAAAGGTACGTATACCAAATTTGGATCCCTTAACAAGACTCGTTAGTACGAGGTGGGCCAAAAGAAGTCATCCGATGTTGTTTGGCTCTATTTTTTTTTCTAAATGAAAAACTTCTGTTCTGTTCTGTTTTTTGATTATGTTTATTTGAACCTTTAGAATATTATTGGTCAAGTCGAGAAGATGATATCGGCCAAATGGGCGCCGCCACAATTGATTGCTATACGGGCTCGTTTTAAGGCATTTTTCATCACTTCGGCGAGAACTTCGGGCGACAGATTGTCGCACTCGTGTCGAATGTTGTCCTTGAGGGCTTCCAGGGTCTCGGGCTTGTTCACGTAAACACGGGACTTCAAAAAAAAAAATTCTGGAACGGTTAAATCGGGCGATCTTGCGGGCCAGTGCAAATCGCCAAAACGAGAGATGAGGCGACCCGGGAACGCCGCCTTCAGAATATCGGTTGTGGCTCGCGCGGTGTGTGCCGTTGCTCCGTCCTGTTGGAACCACATGTCCTCCAGTCCCAATTCGTTCAATTGCGGCAGAAAAAACTCGGTTAACATGGCCCTAGAGCGCGCACCGTCCACTGTTGTCGTTTGACCAGCGGCGTCCTCGAACAAAAATTGCCCGATGACTCCTCCAGCGTGAACAGCGCACCATGCAGTCACTTTGGGCGGGTGTAATGGCTCCTCGTGCAACGCTCGTGGATTTTCGGTGCCCCAGAAGCGATAGTTTTGCTTGTTCACGTACCCGCTGAGGTGGAAATGAGGCTCATCGCTCATTATGATTTTGGTCAAAAAATCGTCCACTTCGTCCTCGAGATTGAGGATGGCTTGGGCGTAGGTTACACGCGTTTGGCGGTCGACAGGCAGCAGCTGATGCACGGACTGGACTTTGTACGGGAACATGCGCAGGTCTTTGACCAAAATTCGCCTTAGGGACGACCGGCTGATGGCTAATTGCGAGGCACGGCGTCTGGTCGATGTTTCTGGCGACAGCTCGACATCCTCGGCAACAGCGGCGATATTCTCGGCAGAACGGGCGCTCCGGGGCCGGCCACTCTTGGCAGCGTCTCGTGCGGTTCCATACTCTTCAAACGGCGCAGTGTTTGCGCAGTCGGTGCCGGACGACCGGGGAATCGGCGACGGAATTCGCGCTGCGCCAACACCACAGACGAATTGTTACGCAAAAAAATAGACACGATTATTCCGCGTTGTTGGGGAGTGTATCGCTCCATGGCTTGTTCACTTGTATTCTACATCTGTCTAGTTCACAAATGTCAAAACAGATTTGACATTGGCTGCCATTTGCAAAAATAAGAGCATCTTCCAATAGGGTGATTTCTTTTGGCCCACCTGTTACTATAAAAAATATGAGAGATGTCCCATTCTCGAGGGAATTATAGAATAGAGATGGAAGGTTGTAATTTTTTTGTGGGGTTCAGTTGGAGGCTTACTCTATTCTAGAGGTTACATGTTTATAAGAACTATTTTTTTTAACAAAACCATAAATGGCTTTAAAAACACTCAAAAAATGGGATACCTATAAAAAACATCTTTATTCCTAAAACTATATTCCAACTTGTTCAATCGAGTTTTGTTAGTGTATTTGTACATTATTTAATAAAATAAATATCCTGTTCCTGTAATTGATAAGTTAATTTTGTTAATGTTGAAAATATTTTAAAATTAAATCCTCAATTTACTTAAGTATGTTTAAATAATGATTGCACTAAAACAATATTGCTTTCAGGTCTCCCGTATTCTACTTTATCGCTTTTATCTACAGTAGTCCTTTTGGTAGTGGCTACCCATTTGAACGGTTGGAAGTTAGACAGAAGATATGGCATTATACTAATGATTTGGTATTTAATTTTCATTACCTTCGCTAGTATATACGAATTCAGTTTTTTCAAACCATGCGATGGCAGCGAGTGGTAAATGTTGTTTCTCTTTTTTTATATCTAAGCTCAACAATTAATGTATTAATTGTATAAAGCTAGTTGCCTGTTTTCCGGAAGTTCTACAGTCGCAAAGCATTTTATGCAAACGGTGAGCAATAGTACTCAAGTAGGTATAAAGTTTTAATATTTATTTATAAGATTTTTACACAGGTACTAGTTACGAGTTACTCGTTACTAGACATTATAGTCTACTATCTGGTGTTTTGGCAAGTTTACATTGATATACAAAACTGCTTCCTTCTTTACCAGTCTCAGTTTGTAGTTCAAATCATAATTTGATAGAGTTCAACAAATTTAACAGTGTCTCTCTCATACCACGACTTCATTTTTAAACAACTGCACTATGGACTAGGAAACTGAGAAAGTGACCAAAACACTAAAAGTGATCCAATTACTATGAAATATGGTATTTCAAGGTTTTTGGGGTCGCTGATTTCGAATCCGTACTCAAAATTAAGAAATTCAAATTGGCGGATCCAATATGGCGGACGATCGTACAAAAATGCTGAAGATGATCTGATTGTGCTTAAATTTGGTATTGATGAATTTTCGGGGTCGCTAATTTCGAATCCGTACTCAAAATTTAGAAATTCAAAATGACGGATCCAATATGGCGGACAAAAATGCTAAAGATGCTTCGATTTTGCTGAAATTTGATATTGAAAGGTTTTTTGGGTCGCTAATTTCGAATCCGTACTCAAAATTCAGAAATTCAAATTGGCAGATCCAATACGATGACTATAAAAGTACAAAATGAGATTATTTAATTGAAACGCCTGCAGTTCGCCCACAAAATCTGTAGTTTCCAGGGCCTACCACGAGGAGGTTGCAGTGCAATTTCAGATCCCTTAATTACCGTATCGGTAATTCGGGGGCTTTATTAGAGGAAGCCCCATTGCCTCTAAACTATTTTTCAGAATTTTTTCAGATTTTTTTGCAGCGTCGTTTTTTATTATAAATTAATAGATAGGTATTACCATATATTATTATAGAAAAAAATAGAAAAATCGTCTTTTTCTGCTCTAATCCAAATAAATAATTGAAATATTTCTTATAATAGTGTCCTGAGGGGTTTTTTATTCGTAATCAGCGACCCGAAAAACCCCCGAGTACTGATTACTAAAAATTTTTCTGAAGTATTGGTCCGCCATATTGGATCAGCCATTTTGAATTTTACAATTTTGACTCCTCATTCGTATTCAGTGTTTCGAAAAACACCCGGGTACCTACTGATTTTCTTGAAAGTTAAAAACTTTTTTTGAATTATTGGTCCGCAATATTAAATCGGCCATTTTGAATTTTACAATTCTGGCTTCTAATTCGTAATCAACGACCCCGAAAAATACTTAGATGCCACATTAAAAAAGTTCCATCTAGAAATAAAATGTATGGCTAAATCTTATTTAAGATTTCTATAGTTAAGTATATCAGAATTTGCAGTCCTTCCTATACGGGGTGTCCCAAAATAAAACAGCTGTATGTCAAGGGTTGCTTCCATAAATGCATACATGGCTTTGGCTGCATTTTAGCAATAAGCTACAAGTAAGTCTACATTCAGGTAAATAACATGATATTTCGAAAAACTACACATTTTCTTAGCAAACACAATAAATAAGAGAAAAACAAAGAAAATCCAACATCGTATACAAACTACACCACAACAATCAAGCAAACAGAAACAAAAGGCTATCTGTTCTTACCTTACTTACCTAAGTTTAAGTATAAATTAAGCTTATATTCATATTTGGTTATCCACAAAACCTTCGTGTAAGTTTAATTTAAATATCTACCAAAATAATAGTCGGCATAAAATGTAAGGGCACGTAGCTGTTTAGGAAAGCAAAATTATATTTAGCTTTGTCTAAATTAGTTTATTTTTATTTAAGGAAATAACCATTGAAGTATGGTCGTTCCATTCTAGGCCACCCTGTACTGTTTTCAGTCTTCTCAACTGCCAATAACTTTATTTAACACTTCCTTTTTGTCAGCGTTTTGCATCTGTACCTAATCACATAAATGGTAATATTAGTTATTCCAAAAGTACCTACCTACTTAACAAATTTTGTAAATGTATTTTTATTGACATCCTATTTTACCTACTAACACTATACGATTTTAACACTAGAGGCAATCGTTGCTAATAGACTACCAAAAAAATATAAGGGAACAAAAATATTTTGTATTTGTTTCGTGATTTTTGAAAGTCTATCTCAATGAAAAATGATCGTGTCAATATAAAAGTGAAGCTTTAAGTAGTTTCAAGATCTTTGAAAATTTGTTTGACTTAAGACTTAAAGCTTAAAAATGCCCGACACGACCAATTTTCACTAAGCATTTCAAAAATCACTAATTTTATGAATTTTTTTTGTTGCCTTAATTTTTTCCCGTAGTGTATGTGTTTGTAGTATGTATCCCTACCTAGTTTTCTTATGCTACTAAGCTTCTAAAGAAATAAATTTTATACCTACGCATAATAAAAATTTTAGTGGTAGGTACTTAGAATGTATACAAATTCGATAACGCTCTGCCCTTCAAAATATTACCCAGTGACTGTGGAACTTCTAGTGAAATTTACCAAAATATAAAAAAAAACAAAAAGCGAACAATATGTTAAATGTTTTTGACTTTATATAAATGTTACCTGTAGTTGTTTAGAATCTGTTAGTAGCCGTCCCGAAAATATTCCTGTTTTAGATTTATGTTCCATGGAATTGTCGACATTATAAACTGTATGTGCTTTAACTAGATATATAGTGTGTTCCAACGAAACGCTTCCTGACTTTGTATATACAGTTAGAATTTTAAGGAAATTGTCGAGACAGGTCAATTTTTGTTAAGGAGTGGCATTTTGATAACATACATGACTTGACGTTGTCATATTTATCTTTACCATAAAACAATTTTTAAAAGGAATAGTACAGATGATATACAGACCCTTCATAAATGTTTATAAGCCACGTTACCGCCGAGCTTGCGCGATTGGTATTGTCAAATAAAAATCCCTAAATTCTCACTAATATTAATGATTCGTTTACAATGAACAATGACAAACCATTAAGTCTATGCTAAACATAATGCAATCGCTTATTGGTTGAATAAAATATCGTGAAATCACAGCCGGTGAAACAGAACGTACAGCCGGTGAAACAGAACGTACAGCCGGTGAAACAGAACGTTGTGCTTTAATATAATGTAACAATTGTTTTAATAATTTTTAATTTTACCTAAATTTACGTGGCATTTATGAAAACTCTGTAAATCAATTCATACGTTAAAGTTTTTTGTTTCTTCTTAAATTGCTTATTTAAATAAAGAAATTTTTATACTTTCCAAAAAAAAAAATCAGAAACCAGAGGAAAAATTTTTAAACAGATATCACATTGTATAGGGCAAATGCCTTATTAATGAGATATGGATGATGCGAATGAAATATTTGAGGTTGGTAATAGTGGAAGGAAGGGGTGAACATATCAACTTCATATTTTTATGGTCTCCTTCAAAATAAAAATTAACTTATCTCGGCGATTTCTTGGAACACACCTATAATGTATCCAAAAAAAAGGATAATAATTCGTATATTACGGTTAATTTAATGAACTTTGTCTCCAATCTTAGGTAATCTTATAGTACCCTATTCAGTATATGATTTATTTAAAAAATATGTCATTAAAGTTGAGATTTTGCGTCGTGGACAATGTCAGCAGTATACCAAACTAGTGGTTAATTTCAATTTAACTACGGCAACAATGAAAAAGCTGTCAATGAGGACAATTGTATCAATTAATCAGTATTTATATTAGCAGTAGTATTAAAGGACGCCCACATAAAAAGACTAATATTGTGACATCGAACGCTTGTCAATTGTATTATTTCCAATGTGCATAATTTTTATATAGAGCAATCATGTTCAATAATTTGTTTAAAAGTCTTCCTTTAAATGTTTAAGGCTTCAAGGGCAATCTTAATAATCCTTGGAAAGAAAAATTTCTCTAAAGAACAAAGTTACAAAACAGGTAATTTTGGACCATATTTTTATTTTAATTTGGCACCCTAAAATTAGAATAAAAATACTGGTTTCATACGATGGCCCAAAATTGCCTGTTCTTTAACATTTGTATCTACAGCGTGTTCTGGAAATAGTTCTGAAAAATGTAATGATGGAATCGTCAATTTTATTTAGTATTTCATATAAAGTGTTTCACGTACTACAATTGCTATGAAACATCATTATATCAACACATATTCTCCATTTCTTTGATCTTCTACAAGGAGCTGGTGCTATTTTCCTTTCCTTACTTTTTATATGCAAGTATACTTGAAATTATTCAGTTACTCAAAAACCAATATAGGTACCAACTTTTTGCAGGACTTAAAAAACTCTAAATAGTTAATATCTTTTTTTCTATTGCAAATTTGAAAGTGTACTTTATTTTTAATTTTCATTTTAAATTAAATTAATATGGACTTTAATGATTTCCAGAAATTTCTGTTCTCAACTTTTTTCTTGTAGCAGACGTACAAAATAGAAATGGAAGAATTTTATTCTCCATCATGCTTCAATCTTTCTCGCTACTGAGTCTTCTGTATAAGCTTCGGCCACTGAAAACGTCTTCCACCCTCTTATAAGCATGACTATTATAATGCCAGCACCAGAATTTACAATGGCCGATATACATTTCAAAATTCGGTAACTTCAAAACATCTGGTAGTGGTACACTTTTTCTGTAGATAGGTGATAAAGAACTCCTCGCGAGACATTTGAGGACGCATATCGACGTATTTTTTAACATTACCGCAAACATTCACTGCACATTTTTTGTCGGTAATGCAAAACGACTAAACTTAGAACTTGTATTCAAATGTTACCTTCCTAAACAGATCTGTCTGAAGTATCTCTTAAAAATCTCATGGCATCATCCAGTTCTAAAACTTTCGATTTTTAGGTGTGTAACCATCAGTTAATTTCTGTAGCAATAG